CAATTCAAAGGCTTCACCAAGGCAGTGGCACACATCATTTCCACTCACATTTTCCTCGCCAGAGCAGTTGTTATAACCACATCCTGCTTTAAGGAGTTTGGGGAAATCCAACTGTAACATGTGCTAAGAAGGAGAGGAGAACGGGAATGTTTTCCAACAATCCTACTGACTATCACAGAATGATTCCATATGGGAGTTGGATTATTTTCTTAATCTACAGTTCTACTACATGAGAGCATACCAACACACAGCGTCTGGTGATTGGCCAAGGAAGGCAGTTTTTGGTGACTGTCATTCGGTTCTGCATTTTTGGTTCACACATGCATATGATAGTCATAAATGTGGGAGCAAGTCCTCGCCACAGACCGCTCTCAGCAGCACATCAAACACGAGATCAATGAGCACATCACCCTGGAAAGCAGGAAGCCTGAATGTTGTAAAACTTGGAAGATGATGATGGTAAACAAATTCATTGTTTTTTTTTATTATTTTAGTTTCAGAAAGAATTTCTTTGAACTTTGTTGCAGAAATTGGATGTCCTCTTAAAATATGACCACTCATATACTATTGATTTCTTTCTCTGAGGCACAAAGAACAGGAAGTGTCAGGAAAAAGTTCATCTCTTGGCAATCGAGCTATTTGATTTCAATTCAAGTTCACCCTTCAATTGTCATGGGAAATTCTCTTATCAGAAGTCAACATTTTATAATCCCTATATTTCAACCCATATATTTCCTTATATTTTAATTTATAAACTTAGGTCATGCAACCTAGATAATAGAGTGAGGAACTAAAATTTGAAGAAGCCACTTAAAATTCCAGAAATGGTCCTTACTGGGAATATCAGTACCATAAAAATTTTTTATTTCATTTCTCATTCAAAAAGTTCTGTGAACTTTCTCTTGTCAGCTGGTACCTCTCACTATGGGAGAGCAGCATCATGTGTCAGTCCATTTATCTGCCACGTACTTTAAAATTATTTGCCCAGAATAGGTACAATTTAATTATTAATCAAGTCCTTTTAAGATCCTTCAGCATAAAACACAACATCAAGGTAAGTACTGCCAACTACTATCTGTATTCTGTGGCTAAAACTGTGTGTGGATTGGCATTCAAGTGAAACTTATTTATTAATAGATCAGTGCCTTTTTTAGTTATATACATAAATGGTCTTGCTTCAGTCCTGAGCTCAACATGATTTTGTCCATCTTTTTTTTTTTAAGATTTTATTTATTTATTTGAGAGAGAGAGAGAGAGAGAAACAGCATGAGAGTGGAGAAGGTCAGAGGGAGAAGCAGGCTCCCCGCTGAGCCGGGAGCCCGATGCGGGACTCGATCCCGGGATTCTGGGATCATGACCTGAGCCAAAGGCAGTCGCTTAACCAACTGAGCCACCCAGGCGCCCCCAATTTTGTCCATCTTTATAAGAGATTACAGAAGAATAGGTAAGGACAGAAAACATCGAATCTCTTTTAATCATTCATTTTCAGCAAAAAACAAAATAAAATTTCATGAAACCATTCTTCCCATATAAGTGCTGCCCATGGGCCAAGAGCTGATTCAGTGGTTGCATCCAAATGTAAAGCAAAACATGGGATTGCAACAGTAACCATTGTTACACTTGTGTAAGGCAATTTTAAATATTGGCAATTGATGGTCCTTAATTTTTTTTGAGCATAATTTAGGTTTTACAGTCTTGTTGACGATGACCTGTGCCTGTTTTTGCTCTGGTAAGTGCAACTTAGGATGATGCCCCTGTAGTCCTTTGTCTTTTCTCTACCTGTCATGACAAATTCATAACTTTCACACTGGAAAGTATTAACTATCAAATATTCCTGAAAAATCAAATAATTTAACCACAGAGATTCTGAGCATAATTTGAATAAGAAACCATAACTTCAAAGATTTCATGCCATCATAATAGTCAGGACCCAAGAGACCAGGAGGGAAAGGATCCTTGACTCAAAACACTTGAATTTTCGGAGATTTGTTGTTGTACATCGTCATACTTCTCAGCTGCCCTTTTCTTTACTGGCTTGTGGATTCACCTGTCTGGCAACATGGGTTCATATTTTACATTTGTATTGAAGAACTTTTTACTAGATGGAGATACAATACTATTCTGTGATTCAGAATTGTTGAATACATATTGCTATTTTTACCATTACTTCCCAGTTAATGTAGAGTGACATAATGAGAATAACAAGGAACATTCCAAACTTAAATATGAACAATATCATAAAACTAGTGTGGAATGTGAGTCAAGATGAAGTGATGAAAACAAATTTCTGTATAACATGCATTACCCTTAAGGACAAAATTATTATAAGGACATTACTATGAACCTAAAATTAATCTTATGAGTCCAGATTTATAAAATGTAAGGCAGACAAATTATATCATTTGTTTCCCTCTGAAATTGCTGGACTGCCCATAGTTCAGTTATAGATTTACATGGATCACTAATGATACACACAGAACATTTTACCACAGACAGGGTTTGGAAGAGATATTTATAATGCCAATACAATGTCTTAATGTTTATTTTCTTTTTTACTTTTATTCTCTGTTTCCTTAGCAAACTCTTTAAAGAAAAAGGCCTGTGCATTTATTTGAACAGATATTCATACCACATTTACATCTCCAGACCCAACTTCTCCCTCAACCTCCAGACTCAGACTCTACTTGGATGTCTGAAATGCATCATCAACTTACTCTTGTCTACAACAGAGCTCTTGGATAGTCCAAATTTGGCCCATTTGCAAAGATTCCTATCTCATTATGTAACCATTCATCCAATTGTTCAAGCTGAAACCTAAAAGGCAATAGAGACTTGTCTCTCTCCACTATGTACCCAAAGCATGAACAATTCCTGTTGACTTAACTGTCAAAAAGCACACATGGAACCCGAGGACTTCCCATGACTTACACTGTTGACCCTGCAAGCTGCCGTCATCTAGTCTCTCACTTGATCGCTCATTACTTGGTTCCTGCACTCTCTTGTTTCTTCTCTTGCCCACACACTTGTATTCTCTCACAGCAGGCAGAAGGAGCTTTTTAATCTAATCAGGTCAAGGCAAAACTCTCCAAGGGCTTTCCCCCATGGTTAGAATGAAATCCACTGTGCCAACCATGGCATGCGAGGCCTTACGTGATCTGCTCTCTGGCTGCCTCGGGGAAATCTACCTTGCTTATTTTACTGCAGACAGTCTGGCTTTTGGGATATTCCTTCCACGGACTAAGATCATTCTTGGTTTTTGCATCTGTGGTTTCTTCTGCCTGGAAAACTATACCCCACTTATAATTGTGACATGTTCCATTACTTCAGTTAGGTTATTTTCTTACCACCCCAGCTTAATAGAGCTTTACTCCTACTACCCCTAACCCTGCTTTATTTATTTCCATAGTTTTGTCACCCTCTGACATTGTACTGCATATTTATTTAATCATATTCTCACTGGAATGTAAATTCCATGAAAGTAGAGACTTTGCATTGACCATATGCCATATTCCCAGTGAGCAGAGTTATATATTTGCTGTGTCCTATCCTTCAGTTAGTTCTGTGGAAAGTAAAAGAGATGATAGAATATCTAAAAATGAAAAATAAGCCATCAAATCTCAGAGGAGTAACACTCTGTGAAGGAAGAAAAGAGTGTAGAGGGGATCTAACCTTGATCTACAGAGTGACTACAGGAATTTAACTGAGAGTGACCCACGGGGTTTCCACATATCTATTCCTTTCCCACTGGGCTCCTGGTGGCCGAGAACTCATACACTTTGAGAAATTTCCTTTCAGCCTTTGGTTAAATTCATAGTTTTGAACTTAGAGACACAATTATGGTTATATACTTAAGCTGTGTTCATTATAAACAAAAATTAAACAGGGAACAACTTCACCTGATAAATATTTAGCACAAGCCCAGTCTAAGTCAAATCTCAGCAAAATCTAAATTGTAACCACACTGGATAGGCTATAGTTTAAATTTGTAGTGAAAGAGGTTTTGTATGTCTCTATCTTAGTCACCTAGGTCTTTCCCATACTCATATATTAGCATTATTGAGGTAAAAATAAGTGCATTTGCTACAGGTAGAATTGCAAGGAGGAAGGGACGTTGATAACAAGTATTCCTTGTCAAGTGTATGTCTTCCACTATAGAACAAACTCTCCAGGTAGTCACTGGGTTCAACTGGCTTTGGAGAGAATGACAGTAGATAATTTATTATTGGGGACTTCTAGCAGAGCAAATATGCTGGATTTATGGACTTTAGGTTCTCAGTAATGAATTATTACTTAGTACCTGATGGGGAAGAAATGATGGGCTTACTTAATATTATTTTATTCAAAAAATGATATGGCATATACATCTCAAATGAACTCTATTGTAACCAATTAAATTCATTAGTGGACTAGTCAATTCCACCACAAGTCAATACAAAATTCAGTCATTTCTACACACTTGTTTTACATTAGGCTTCTTGAACCCACTAGTGAGGAAAGCATTACAAAGATTTGTTAGAAGGGCATATCAGTCTGTTCAGAGATTTTCCATTATTGCACTAGACAGCAATGTTTGGATAACTATAACATTAGTCTGTAGGAGGTTACTCTTCCAGATTTATCTAAGATTCAGTTGAGTGTTCTTTTAAGAAAAGCTCAACCCTCACGAATTGTGACTATTTTGAATTGAATTTCCATATGACTTCATGTGGCCACTAAATAACTTAGACTACAAGCAAGTAATAGTTACCTGCTGAGGCAGTGACCTCACTGGTACCATAAGGTCAATATTTGGTTTTAAAAGAATGTATAAATCCTGACTGGATCTAATTTAAGAATTTAGCAGACTAAATCATACTTTATCATCTGTCCAAGGAGCTAAAAACAGAAAGCTTAGATGTAGCTCCAGTCTTAACTATTCAACTGTTTGTGTGGAAAATTCACGTTTTTCTCTTCAGAAGACATATGGCTAAATATAAGGGATTAAAATTTTAGTCTCATACCTCTCGAATAGCAGTACAAAACTCACTCTGAAGCACTTTTTTGAGGGACTGTAGCTTGTGCACTGGTACTTCTCCAGATTCCTGTAGTTTTTCCAATAATTCAATTGCTCTGGCAACATCTGAAAAAATAAAATCAAAATAGAGAGATCTAGAGTCAACCGTATCTCATCAGCAAAGTACTATCATTCCAGTTGAATGGTGCAATGAAAAATAAGTGGTGCAAAGTCGCAACTTAAAATTCATAGCTTATTGATCTAATCTTTTGGTAAAAAGTCATTTTAATTTGTTCTACACAATTCGTCACTGGATATGCCTTCTTCGGTGGCATTTCAAGTATGTTATTTCTGCCACAAAAATCAGTTTGAATATTCTTTCAGGAAAGAAGAGTAGGAGACATGTCTTTTATTGATACCTCAATAACCAAATAAGTCCTGTCAATTTTACCTCTGAGGTGCTGTGTGCGGTCTGACTTTTCCTTTCACATACTACATTTATCACATCTGCAGTTATACATTTATTAGTATCATGATTTGATCAAGTGCATTTTTTCTTCCACTTATTGATAAAATCTCATAGGGTAGGAACTTATCTAAGTTTGGTTACCTTTGCATCCCCAGTGTCTGGTATAATACAGTGAATAAATATTTCGTGAATTAATTAATTAACTAATGGGCTCTATCCATTTAACTGCTATTCTATTATTCTAAGCCCTCATCATCATCTCTCCTCTGTTCAAATAGAGTCATTTCTTCTCCTCCAGCCTCTTCATATGGTCCATGGGGTTATCTTCCTAAAGAATCTGATCGTGTACCTACCTACCAGCTTCTAGGACAGTACCAAGCAAAAGAATTTCCTGTAACAATTAAGTTAAATGTTCCTCCTTTATTTGACAATGTCAGAGGTTAATGTATCAAGAAATATTGTCTTTAAGAAAAAGAAATACTGTCTTTTATAGCTTTAAAATTCCCAGGGTGGTTTTGTACTGCCAAGAAAAAATGATATGATGAAAGGCCATTTTAAAAATACTTAAAGTGATCTCTTCTACCTGTTGTTGTAGTCGGTAGTTCAGTGAAGAGTCACATAGGCATTTATGTATAAGATAGAAGGTTCTCAGTTCCTAAGTGATTAGCTCCAGAAAGCATCCCATATTTCTGTCATCAGATTATAAATTCATCCATCCATCCATCCATCCATCCACTAATTTGTGTTCCTATTAGACCAGGCACTAAGTTTAACAAAAAGAATAAGACACACTTCCTTTCTGAACTCACAAATGAGAAGAAGAGAACAGCATTGCTACCTATAATAAAATCATTACCTCCTCAGAATTTAGGGGCGGTTGGCATACCTGTATGTATCTAATCAAAGAAAATAACCAGTAAGTGACCTTAATGGAGAATCTCCCTTGAAGTATTGCCAACTGATTGCCAATTGTGGCCCAAAGAAGCAAAAGTCATGAAATCAAAACAACAATGACAGTTTGAAAAGTTTGTCTTTTTTGTACATAAACTGGAAGTTAATGTAGTCAATTGGACAATACCAGCCATATCCACAGTCAATAAGTTACCAAGCTAAGAATTTTATGCATTTCTAACTGTACAGAAGACTCTACCTAGATATCCATAAGCATATGGAACTCTCAACATGTTAAAAACTGAGCTCATTAATATTTTTTTTCTGGGGGCACCTGGTGGCTCAGTTGTTAAGCATCTGCCTTCGGCTCAGGTCATGGTCCCAGGGTCCTGAGATTGAGCCCCTCATTGAGCTCCCCACTCAGCAAGAAGCCTGCTTCTCTCTCTCCTACTCCCCCTGCTTGTGTTCCTGCTCTGGCTATCTCTCTCTCTCTCTGTCAAATAAATAAATAAAGTCTTAAAAAAATATTTTTTTTCTTGAAACTAGCTCTTCTCTTTCCATATTCCATAATTCCATTAATAGCACCCCCATCCAGCTGTCCTCCAAGCTAGACAATGGCATCATCTTTCACATTCACCCCCACATGCAGTTATTCAGTGATGGCTAGAGATTCTATCTCAAATATGCCTTTTGAATGGAGCCCTTTTGCTTGATTACTTCAGAAAAGCTTTTATTATTTTTCCCTCATAGTACTGGAACATCTCCCAACTGTTCTCTAAATTAGCCTTTTCTTGCTCATTCCATCCTCCACCTTGCTTCCAGAGTGACTATCCTGAATGATAAACCTCATTATTACCTCCCCCACATAACACCTTCTCTGGCTTCCCACTGCTTACAAAGTGAAGTTCAGACCATGTGGGGTTACACTCAAGGCCCTTAACAACCAACCTCTTCTGACTCATCTCTAAAAACTCTTCCCTGCTCATTCTTATTTTGGACATCCATAATTTTTGTTATTCTAGGACGTGGCCCTGAATTCCAACCTGTATGGCTTTGCACACATCATCCCCTGTTCCTGGAACACAATTAAGTCATTCATCCAGTCATTCATCCAGTAATGCCTTAGCACCATGCTATGCACAGGACACGGTGGTAAAGGACACAGCTGGTTGTTGTCACTTTCATGACATTTATAGGTTCGAGGGGTCACAGACATGCAGGAAAGTGGGCATGTCCTATAAAAGAATCACTACAGGTTGGTGCATGGATGTATAACAAGGGCATTTATCATCATTCAGGAGGCCAGGAAGGGCCTCTTCATGGAATTAATAACTAAGCAGTTTTAGGTAGGAGGTGAAGGTTGGGGAAAAGGGGAAGAATGTTCCAGGCAAATCAATGCAGATTGAAGTCTTGTCAAGAGAGTGTGGGACAGAGAACTGAAAGGAGTTTGGTATGGCTCAAGTTGAAACCATGGCAAGAGTAGAGAGAAATCACATCATGGAAGATGTCTTAAATCATGGGGTAAGACGTGGCTTAATAACATCTCCTTAGACATGTCTTTCCTGATTCTCCAAGGCAGATTCAGTTCCCATAGTTCTCTTTTCACTCATCCATTGTAATAATTACTACTCTCTCCTATGCCTCTGTTTGCATGTATATCTCCCTCCTTTACCCTTGCAAATCTATAAACTTCCCCAGGTGTCAGGAATGCTATCTTATTTGCCATTATATCCATGGGTCAATGCAGAGTACTTGATTAAGTATTAATTAATCTTAATTAATTAAGATTTAATTAATTAAGTTTAATACACACTTACTGAATGTGTAATAGATTAATGAAACTAACTCAGGAAAGCAGGGGTTAGAGGTTTGTGTCTAGACAGACACATAACTTCTGAAGAGACTAGATCTCCTTGGTCAAGACTGGCATGGACCTAGTGTGGGAGAAGGAGGCAAGCCTGCATCTGTAGGCTAAAGGCCACTGAGTAACCACATGAGGGAAGTTCAGAAAAGCTGAAAATGACCCCAACCTGAATACTCAGGAATTCTCAACCTTGGCTGCACATTACAATTATCTGGGATACATTTGAAACTATCAATGCCTGAGACTCCCCTGCCCCCACCTGCCCCCCAAATTAAACCAGAATATTCAGAACACTGGTTCTCAACCTTGGATGTAGACTGGTATCACTTAGAGAGTTGTAAAAACCATAGATGCTTGGGTCCCGACCCCAGAGATTCCGATGTGATTGGCACAGTGTGGGGCCTGGGCATGGGGCTTTCAAAAACCCTGCAGGTGATGTTAAAGTGCAGCCAAGGTTGAAAACCACTGGTCTACTTGGCATGGGTATTTTTATAGCCCCTATGTGATTCTAATGTGCAGCCAGGGTTGAAAAGCTCTGATACAGATTAATGGCTCTAAACCATGAATGTGCTTAACAATCACCTGGGGGAAGTTATTAAAACATATGTTCCTGACCTTCCACCCCCACTTTAGAGAGGTTAATTCAGAAGGTGTGAAAATAAGGCCCAGGAATAGGTCTTTTAAACAAACAATTCAAGTGATTCTGAAGTTGCTGGTTCACAGACCCCATTTGTTGAGAAAGTAAATAAAATGATATTTCAGGTTCCTATCGGTCCCAGCATTCCAGGAATCCTCACATTTCCATTATTCTTTAATACCCTGTGTAACACTGAATAGGGTTTTTCCAGGAGTCCCCAAATGACTGGTAAAAGCTCATGAATGAAAGTAATTAGTGTTAAGTAGCACCCCATTCTAAAACAGTGTTCCCAATAAAGGCTGTCTGTAGAATCACCTGCAGAGTTTTTAAACCAGCCTGCTACTCCACACTAATTAAATCAAAATCTCCAAGACTGGGATCCAGTCATCAGGATTTTTGTTTGTTTGTTTGTTTGTATAAGCTTTCAGATGATTCCTATGACCATCCAAGGCTAAGAAATATTATTCAAAAAAAAGCCATCAAGGAAACCAGTCACACCCCATTAAAAGCTGGTCCAGCCCTATTACATTACACCATAGGCCTTTTCCAATCCTTAGTAAGAGGTAATTGTGAGAGGAAAGAAAACTCATGGAGAAGTGTTATGTCATTAGCTTGGGTCAGAATACTAAGTTTTTGCTTCCCTTCTATCCAATGAGGAGTGTTCCCAATAGAACCAATGGTAGCTGCTGGGGGTGCCTGCAAGAAGGGAGTCTAGAATCTTTCCTGGTTGCACAGACAATGGACTTGGTGGCCTGCCTGCCCTCTATGTCTATCTGATCAGAGGGAGAGAATTGGAAAGCAGAGCCCACTGGAGCCTGAGCCATCATGCTGGAACCCACCCAAGAGAATCGAGCAGGATGAGGTCATGGGATATACAAGCAGTTGGTAAAAGCCAAAAGAGGTCTAAGGACCAAAAGTGGGAGAAATCAGGTCCCACCAGCCCAGACCTGGCTAGTGCTGCAAAGAGTTGATGAGTAATAAACTGGATATGAGACCGGAGTTTTCAATGGAATTCTGATTCCCTTTAGCTCTGTAAAAGTACCAGAAATCTGCAAGGCCAGAATCTGGAAGGGAGCGAAAGAAGCCTCCGAGTCAGCAAAACACTTGTTCTTAAAACCACTGCAATACTGTGCATACCTTATTAATGTGTCCCCTAAAGGTTCTTATTCAGAACCTCCTTGCACTTATTTCATGAAACTATTCTACCAAATTTGGTTACTAATATAGAAGTTTGGATTTACTAGTTTAGCTCAGCCTATGAGGAA